TTCATCGAGATCTACAAACAATTGTATCCAACTCGCAGAGCTGATAATTTTTGCAAACATGTCTTTCGTGCATTCGATGCGGATTCATCGGGCAATATCGGTGAGTAAGAACGAGCTCGACACAAAGATAAGAAAATAAATAAAGGTGGAAAGTCATTTCGAATTAGCATACAGTGTACAATATCTCATTTTATGTTGATAAAATCTATTAAACATATTCAATATCATTTTAACATTAATGACAGTAATCATTGTAAGAAAATTCATATTTCAATTATTCAATATTTTCTGTTTGAAGCACGAAGAAGAATATGATTATTATTTTAGATTTCGGTGAGTTTCTCATGGCTCTTTCTATTACTGCTCAACAAGATCCACAGAAGAAACTTGAATGGACATTTTTTATGTATGGTACGGATTTCATGAGAAGGCGAATGATGAGCACGAAAAGTTAAGCATGAAAAAAAAATGAATGTAAATGTGAGTTCAATTGAAAGATCAATAAATCTCTATGGATGTGAATGTTAGTCTTCCATCCACATCCGCAAATTTCTGTGCTCACCGTTCACCTATTTGTATTTTTTTCATGATTCTTCGTAAATTTTTATTTCCTTTATATTAGATATTAATCACAATGGATTTATTGACAAGAAAGAGATGCGAAAGATTATGAATGTAAATACGTTCTTTTTTTTTTGTTGTTTGAAAAACAATTTTTACTTAACAAAACTCAGTTGTTTTTGATATTGTTCTTCTAGGCTATTTATGATCTATTCGATGAAGAAAAATCAGGCCCAAATTCACCTTTTATCAAAGTAGATGAGATCTTCTTGAAAATGGATAGTAATGGTGATGGAAAATTATCCAAAGAAGAATTCGTTTCTGGTTGCTTACAAGATGATTATCTGAAGAAATTACTTGCACCTTCGATCTCATGAATATATTCGATATGTTACTCTGACATTGGAAGTCTGTTTTCTTTTTTCTTTTTTGTTCTTTAAATTATTTATATCTTCATTTGCTTGATGAACAACCGTCAAATGCCATATAACTCATTTTCTTTTTTGTTTAACATCTTGTACTTCATTAATATAAGTTAATATATCGATTTAAATGATAAAACATCTAATTATTCTATGCAACTAATGATCGAGAAGCAGGGTAAACCTTAGAAACAGAATGAAAAGATGATTACATTGAGATAAATAATCGTCGTACATGATTGATCTTCGACAATCATTCATCAAAGTTTAATATTAAGTGTTATTATATCAGCAGATATGTTCTGTGTGATAGATTATAAAAGAATGGAGTCACTATCATTATTGTTAGTACACATCGAGAGAGACAACATCGTCATTTCAACATTGACAGATGAACCATAGTTAAATACATTCTTCAACTGATCGATTAATTATTTTTATACAATCCTATATTGAATATTATAATGATTTCTTGATGATTCAGTAATGTGCACAATTTGTGTTTAAAGCCATCCCCTCTTCCTCTCAAAAATCTATCTCAGCCTAGGAACATTTAAATGTCATGAAACTTTGAGGATATGTTGGGGCTGTAAAAGGTAGTCTATGGTAAAATTTTCAGCCTCCTATCCCGATGCATAAGGGCTGCACAAACCAAATAAGAGTCGAAAAAAAGCTTATTACATCTCCTAAAATTTTCTGTGGGTATTCATTCAATATGCTTGATTGTTCTTTTGTTTGAAAGAGCATATCAGGATTCAGTGCCTATAAGGGCTCTTTTTTTCTCTTATCTTTCTGGAGGAAAAAAGGTCTGACAAGTTCAATCGCTGGAAAATCTCTCGAAAAATAGCGCTCATATTATAAAATTGCTTATCAATATAATAATAACAAAGCTTTATTAAAAAAGGACTCTCATAGGTACTGCAGTTTATGATGCTCTTTCAAATTTAAAAAAAAATTGCCTTTATATCGGATTATAGTTGAATTTTGCTAGAGATGCGTCGTTCGACCACCATTTTGAAAAAAAATGAAAAAGATTTTCGAGTTTTTCCAAAAACCGCTGGTTTTTCGAATAGGGATTGTCAAAAATCTGGAAAATTTTTCGGAAAAAAGATGGTACTGAAGAAAAGTTTTGATCGTTTATGGAAGAGCGAATGACAGGTTACCTTCCCATATATTTATCTCAATTTCAATGATTCCGATGAAATGTAACTTTTTTGAGGCGGAGCTTAAATTGGAATAAGATGATGGGATTACACAAAGAGTTCTCCTATAATCAATATCAATCTATTCGTATCTGACTCATCTTTCAAAGTTTTAGAGAATGTAACTAATTTCTTTTTGGTATATTTCACTATCTTTGTTTTGAAGTATGATGAAGCCTATAATGATTATTAAATGAGAATAGTTTCTTAATTCAGTTACACGATTTTTCAAATTTGTTAATCTCTTGACCTTTGTTCAACTTAACTTAGAACTATACCATAAAAATTGAAATGTACATAAATAAATTCTTAAATATTTCATGTCATAAGACAGCTCTAAGAAATTGTAGAGATTCTATCTTAATATACTCAAAATAATATTGTTCGTTGATGTGAGAGCATTCGGTCATTATGCAGCTAGATGTTCTGACCTCATGACCGATAATAACTGCCCACTCACTCTGTCTTCTATTCATCCTTCCTTCTATTCTCATTTTGTTTTGCTCGCGTTCTGTGTGAAGCGGGCAGAATTGAAGTGATGGAGTAGTATAATGAACATTGTACATCAAGGATAGCGATAACGCTACTCTTTCAGTTTCTCAAGTTTGATCAATAATAACATACATAGATACTGTCATAGTAACGAAATAGTCGATCCTTGATTTTTGTTAAAGAATCATTACGGTAAACGACATGCACTACTTTTTGTATAATTCATTCACTTGTCTGTTGAATTATTCTCTCTCATATGTAGTTCTTTATAATTTATTTTTCTTTAGATATTGTCAATCACTGTCGAAGATCAGCTGCAAAAACTAAATAATGGCGTGAGATCTCTATGAGCTCTCTCATTATACCAGTAAACTGTTAATAAATAGATTTTGCTGATTCTATAGATCATTTGAATAAACATCTTTTTCGTAAATTTATCAATCTTTAAACATTGCTCGATCGAAATAGGCGCTCTCGAAATTTTTTTTCGGTATGTTGCCTTTTCTTCCGGCTATATCTCATTCAAGGTCACTAAAATTAATCAAAGCTTTATATTTCCAATTTTTGGACTTAATGCGGCAGAAAAAAATTATTCTTCGAAAATATTTCTCGATATTATTTTTTTAAGTGATTCTGCTACTAAATGATTTTTGGTAATTTTGAGTCTTGTTTTTATCAAATAAAAAGCTACTAGAAAAAACTAGACATCATTAGAAAACGAAAAAAATATTCTCAAAGACTTTTCGATTGATTTCAATTATCCTTGTGATAATGTCGTTTTTATCGATTACAAATCTTAAAAGACCCCATTTTCTCTCAATCTTCGTTCTTCTAATTGATATGTAACCCTAAACGAAACATGAGATCATTTTTAGTTTAGAACGACTTTTACTCTTATTTAACAAGATGTATTTGGACTAAAAGTTTCCTAATATCTCGTTCAGTCGTTGTCAAGGATTTCCATCAAGGGAGTGATATCAATACGAACAATGACAGAAAACTTAGAAAAAAACCAATAAACTTGAGTAAAGTTAACAGTATATGCTGGTATATACATTAGCTACAACATGGTCGCAAGAAAGAAAAACTGTCACTGGTGGCAAAGAGGAAGAAAATACTCTCAATCAACTGTTCTGTCCAATAGGATTGTTTATCGATTCCAACAATGAAGAGATCATTATTGACACTGCTAATAGTCGAGTAATAAAAATGGGATCGAGGCGCCTCGAATGATACGATTGTGACTGGATTTGAGCTACTAACAAGTGTTGTTGTTGACCGGAAAAGGCACTTTGTCTATCACTGATGATACTAGTAGCGAAGACTATCGTGTTATACGCTGGCGAAAAGGAGATACATCGGATTAAACTCTTTTCTCTTCAAATTCACATCCAACTAGTATCGCTTTTGATGTTAATCAAGAACATTTTTATGTTTCACATTGTGATCAAGTAAAGAAATTATCGTCGCTGGTGGCAATGAACAAGGCAATGAACTCAATCAGTTTGATGCTCATATGTTAAAATCTATTTGAGCACACTCTTAGTATCTCTTCATCTTCTTTAGCTTATGAGATAGCAATCGATGAGATTGGTACAGTGAATACAGAGAACCATAGGATAATGCATTTTCTAGTTGATGATGGCGAAAACATCAGTGTAATAGCTAATGACAATGGAGAAGGTGATAGGACAAATCAAGTCTCTTATCCGATTCACTTGACATTCGATAGTATGGGAAATTTGTATGTGTTCGATTGTATCAATGATTATTCCTGTTTGATTCAATAATTAAAAATACATCAGACATCGAACTCTAATGAATTCATCTTCTTTAATTCAATAACATTTTTCAAATTAATATAGAAACTTCAAATTTTGAAAACGCAACATTCAAGAGCAACTTCAATTCTATTAAATATTTATTCATCAGTCTGAAATAAACATCTGTTTTTTTTATTAGCATTAAGATGCTCTGTTCTCTGCATATCAGCATCTTTTCGTTTGTTAAATATTGAGATGCTTGTCATGAATAATATCTCAATCGTAATTCAATTTGAATCTTTGCCCAAAGAGATTATCATAGGCGGATGGTATTTCAGTAAGATGGGTAATCCATACACATATGAAAGGTACTTGACTTCGATTCTTAGCTCCAAATTGATAATAGTCAGTTTGACGTATTTCATCGGGTGTTTGAGTCATGACAAAGAGACGATCGAGATTATCTCGTCCTGATTCTTTAACATCGGCTTTTCTGAAAATCGTATCGAACAGATCTGGATGAAGTTGAGTGCACACTTTTCGTAGTTCTTCTACACATTTCTCAATAGGATTATCTTCCATGATGATGGATATCAGTCGATTGACATTATTCGGAATAGTATATTCACGATGATCATTAACAGATCCGTCTGGATTGAAAGTGAGACCAAAAAATGCACGTTGAAGAGCAGTTTGTACACGTTGTGTAGTGAGAGGAGTATTGAAATCGATCACAAGTTCATTCAGACGATAGAAAGTTTTTAAATTACCTAGAATAAATAAAAATGAGAGGATGTATGTCTTTTCTTCATCCATGCCCACAGCTGTTTTCCTTTTTTCAATTATTAAATTTATCCTTAACTTACCGACTTCATCCATAATAATTGGCCATTCTTTCAAGTTTTCTAATTTTTCCATTTCCTTTGGAAGAACTTCTTTCATTTTGACCTGTTTGACAATGTGTATTTCTGGTTTATCAACCGGTGTGGCTAATATTTCTTCTGTACTCTTCGTTGTATTGACTATTTGTGGTGACTTTGCAGTATTCGCAATTGGTTTCTTTGTTGGCGAAGAGCTACTTTTGGAAGTAGTCACTTTCTTAGCAGGTATTTTACTCATTTTGATTGAATAGAAATAATATGTTTCGCGATGAAGTTGTTTCTTTTATATATTTCAATGTAATTGAATCATCATTGCGACATAATACATTGATTCATCTCACACATAGAACGCAATCTTTCAACATTATTCATTTCTTCTCAAAGAATAAACAAAACAATGCAAACGCAGATTGTTATTCCATCACAACATGTTGCTTTCTCAGTACAAAATTCATATGTCATCAGCATGATTCATTTCAGTTTTTCTCTTTCACGAGTTCATCATGTAGTAGAAAATGCATAGACTTTGATCTGTGATCAGAAAAACAAAGAATAGTGACACTACTCAAAAATCAAAATATCACAAATTTATCTATACAAAAAAAGTAGTAAATTATTCCAACTGAAAGAAAGAAAAAAAAGCTTTTTGTTTTCTACAAAGTTTTTAGAGGTATTTTGATGAGAACCAAATAAAGTCTTCGTAAAACGCGCTTTTCTGTGAAGTATATTTCTATTTTTTAGAAAAAAAAATCATGAACCTTCAATTGCACACCTATCGTCTCGATATTTCAGTTTATTGAAGTTATGCTTAGTTTTTTGAGAAAAAATTATTTTGGCGGGTCTTTTTCTGTTTTGCTGGATTCGCCGAAGAGTTTATATTGGCTTACATTCATCGGTATCTGTTCTACAGTAAACAGTAACTAGAAAGACAGTGTCAATACATATAAACAAAAGAGAAAAGTAATAACACAAGTTCAAAAGAGGTCATTGGAATAGACATAACAAGTGGAAGCAAGAAAGGCAGGTACCAGAAGGAAAAACAAAAAAAAAATGAACGACAATTTTAGTAAGAAATAAAGTCAACATATATCGTGTTGCACGACGATATTATTAATAGAACTGTTAGCAAGTATGTAGACGTGAGAGCATTGGTATGTGCTATAATAATGCATTTTTATCGAAAAGAAATAAGGAAATTAACGAAAGATATGTTTGAAGATAACATTGACATTCGACATATTTATGAACTGAGCTTCAACCATAAGAGAAACTTGCGAAGATAACTATAATTCAATCGTCAAGTGATAGAAAGAAGGTGATGATCGATTAAGATTTACAAGTGACATTGAACATCATCATCAAATGACGAGGAGAGAGGGTGTAGATGTGAGGGTCTAATATCTGTTAAAAAACATAACAGTCGTGAGTATTTTTTCAATAACTCAAGAACGAATAAGTCTGCGATTTTCATCAGTCGAAAGAGAAAACATCGAGACATCTTTTTCTTCAATATTGTATAAAATGAAATCATTATAAAATCAATCATCTTTACAAAACACGGAAAAAATGAACAAAAACAATCGGTCGTTCAAATCAAATTTTGATCAAAATTAAGAAAAATTCATATTTTTCCAGAGTCTAAATAGATAGTTTCCTTGGCTCAACATTAGGATGTATGAAGATAATCGTTCGAATTATATCTTAAACTATAGATCTGAAGTTCTTCTATCTAAATCACATATCAAAAACAAAATTTCATCCGAATAACAGACTGTTTTTATGCATGTTTTCAATGTTTTGTAGAAGTGATTGATTTTGTGTTATATAATATTGGAGAAAAAGACGTTCCAATGCTTCCTCTTTCGATTGATGAAAATCGCTGCTCTGTAGTTCTGTCAGTCCTTGTGTTATTGCAAAAATACCCATGATTATTATTTTTTTAACAGACATCAGGTAAAAGAAAGACTTGCACTCACACCCACTCCAATGAACAAACATGAGGAATAATAAGCTGACATGAACCCATTTGGAGCTTATAACAAGGATACATGCCTCCTCAATACCCCATAGGATAATAGCTTGACCACTCATGTGATCAGAAAAAAAAACAGTTGTATTCAAACAGTCACTTGTATGAATTCATAAGAAAATGAAAAAAAAAGAAGAGAAAGAAAGAAAAATAATCGTATGACCGCTTTATAACAGAGTGAGACGAGTTATGTTCAGTTCTGTCATATATGCTCCAATAAAATAACAGAGACATGTAAAATCATGTTCGTTCTCATAACGACCACATTATTTTTTGTACAGAATATTAATACTATGATGAAACATCTTATTCTCTTTCCATTGACTAATATATGTGTTGTTGATAATATTTTTAGAAGAACTTTGCCTTCGCACACTACTCATGAATATTCATTGGTGTAATATTGGTATAGAAAAAGAATGTATTCTATTTGAGAATAAAAGTCGATTTTGACGAAACTATTCATGATATATGACTTACATCTTGAATAACAGACATATATATTGCACAAAGTTGTAAAGATTTATTATTAAATCTCTTTGAAAGAATTGACAAATTTTTCACTCATCGCACCAATCAATAAGCTATTGGAAGCTCAGTTATTAGGCTATTGTAGTAATATTTAGGCGTGTATTTCATCGATAGCTGCCTAGTTCTTCGATATAGTATTTAGAACTAATGATATTTTTATTAAACTCTCATGCTATTATCTAATACCATCGCAAGCTTGTTTATTTTAATTTTAGTTATGAGCAAGATGATTATCATTTCCTATTGACACAATTATTGATGACTTATGATGAGACACCTAGATCAAATGGTTTCAAAGAAAAAGACCATGTAACTGTAGACTTATCAGATTACTTTAACTAAACAAGCAAAAGAGAAATTGATATGCTAAATGTAAATGTTCCTTGCTTCAGGAATTTTTCCCAGATGTCGATCGACCTCACAATCATCCAAGGATTCATTTACTTAATTCAAACTACAATCAATTTGTACATCCGATTAAGACAGTAAATTCTCAAATGAGCACATTGCACATGAACCTGCCCTATTCATGACACCAGATATATTAACGAGTGATTCATGTGGTTTGGCTGATTAGCAAGTCCTAGTTTCGAATTCATATCTATTGGAAAATATGTCAACATGAGACTAGAGAACTTTTATAATATTATTTGCATACAGTCTTGGTTGGAATCTTATTGTCATAATTTATCTTAAGAAAAAGCTTCCGAAAAACTACAAGCATTTGTTGAATTCTCATGGTAATTCAGCTTACAAAAGGCAAGATAATAGTTCTTAAATAGGAGAATACCGAATTTAATATTTTTCATAACTAATACAGTTTATACTTAGCAAAATTGCACCCAGTAAATCGGTACAATGCAAATATGAGTTTTCTGAGAATTCTAATTGATTAACTTGTTGAAATTAATCAAATACCAAGGCCTTTTGAGTATACATCATGAAACATTTTTTCAACTTTTTCTGAAATTAGTCCAATATTACAATGACTGAAATATTCTGTGGCCAAATAGACTTACCAGATTGGAACATAAGTTCTGTACGTCTGGATCAGTAGAATTAAATTGCCAATATAAAACTACATTTTAAGGAAATTAATTATGTATTCTGATAGCACTCAGAATTCTCCATCACTCTGTGTATTTAAGTTTTGACTTGTATTTATTTGCTGAAAAATATTTCGAATACAGTGAAGACATCCTCACCCTCAGAGCCCCACGAGCTTCATTTTTTGTTCCTTTCTCGTGTGTTTTTAAAATTTTTATCTATACAATAATCCATCTTTTAGATAAGTAATTATATATTCTGAGAGCTCTTGAAATGCTCTATTGCTCTATATATTCAAGTCTTGACTTGAACTTATTTGCTGAGAAATATTTCGAACATTGTCAATGCGGGTGGGAGTGTCTTCACTGTACTCGAAATATTTTTCAGCAAATAAATGCAAGTCAAGATCTAAATATACAGGGTAATAGAGAATTCCGAGCGCTATCAGAATATATAATTATTCTTCTTAAAATGGAGTTTTATATTGGCAATATAATTCTACTGATTCAAACGTGCGGAACTTATATGCCAACCTGATATTACACACTTCGCTCTGTCGAGTGTTCGTATTTCCTTTAGTCTTTGAATTGAGGTACTAGTAACATGATGTAATATGTATACTCATTTTCAATATTTTGTTAAGATACTGAAAAAATTGCAAAACTTGTCTCTTGTAATTTGAATAAATCATGATACTATCTAAATGAACAAAGTCATCTGAGTTTTATCAGGCTTGGAGTCAAATTGGTCAATTTTCAATGTTTTTCTTATCAATATTTAGGGTTGCGAAGCTAGTCTATTGTGCTCATTTTTATCGATTTCAGTAGTTTTAACCATCGAGAAATACTATTTCGAAAGTTTCCAACTGACAAGTTTCTAGTTGCCATTGTACAATGCAGGTCATCGATCTTACTGTATGAGCTGATTATGATTAGAAAGTTTAGCCATCCATTAGGACATAAATTCAATCTAAAACAAAGATTTTCCACGCCGAAGTTTCAAGCTTACTTTTCTGAACTACCTTTCCACAACTATTAAAAACTTTCATTGTCTAGTAGCTTTCAGTTCATGTTTTCATCACAAGAATATTAGAAAATTTTTCATTTTGTTATGGACGCTTTGCTAGCTGCTAGTGGAAATGTCTAGAGATGGAATCGGTACCAGTTACCGGTCGGTCTGGTACCAGTCGTCAAAAGTTCAGACCAATTCCCTCTCTGAATATGTCCATTGTAACCGAAAACGTGCCAATGCCGCGACTTGCCGTTGCTACCTGGTTGTTAAAAAAAATATTTTGAATTTCACGGCTGCAACTAATTTGGACTAGAACTATTGCCACTAACCGATGAAATTCGTCGAATCTCAGAGTGTTGCATCTGTGGACATTGAAATTTTGTTAAAATTCATGCATTGTTGGATCGCCCGCAGGAAAAAACCTGCTGCCATCGCCATGGACATCGCTGGCTGCTAGTCTCTTGCAACTTCGAAAGTATCTAGATATCAAGAAAGCTAAAAATATGAGATCTAATATAAGAATCCAATTGTGTAGTTCATTTATTCTTTCTATATACATTAGTAACCCTATACAAATTGAGAAGTCTTTCAGTTCAGTAAAATAGTGATTTTTAATAACA